ATGTCATCATTCAACTGTAGAAATAGTTTAAGTGCAGTTCTTATCTAGGCACATCCATGCTATCCGCGATGCAGCATTGTGTTTGCGGCTCACTCTAAACATGTATCCTATCTATACAGAGACACCTTCCTCCACGTGAAGTTAGAATGAACTTGCACTCTAACTGCTGATTTGCCATTTTGAAAGTGATGCATTGGATTGCGGATAAGCAGGATATATACCCATAATAACTAGTGAGTAAATATCAACAAATAATATAGTGAATTAAAATCAGTGTCAAAGGCAATCAGTAGTAGTGAGTTGAAATAAATCAATGTCAATCAATAAGCAAACAAATAATTAGTGATTTAAAATCAGTGTCAAAGGCAATCAGTTAGTCGTGAGTTGAAATCAATCAATGTCAGTCAATAAGCAGTGAGCTGAAATCAATCAATGTCAGTCAATAAGCAGTGAGTTGATACCAATGGAAATCAACAACCAGTGAGTTGATATCATGTTCATATTACAATGTGAGTTGATATCATGAAAATGAACACCGATTTCGTTATGCAGTTCAGTTTATAGTATAACCCACCTCACTAATCCATTAAAACATCATGAGTCTACCTCGGCGAAACATCAAAGGATTTTCACTGTAATACCAAATGTCGTCTTAAGGGGAAGACACCTAATCCTGATTCGATTATTGCAAGACTGTTTGAAAAACAGCTTCATTGTGGTTTCAAGAGTACACATCTGCCATATACAATTCAGTGTTCCATTTTACAGTTCGAGTGACTATACAAACAATAGAGATACATAAACCAGACAACGGGACTCATGTAAGAGATGAAATGACTGCAACTTAGCGCAATGAAACTCATGTAATACAGAGTGTGAATAAACGATGTATAAAGAAATCATCAAATTATTTTTATTTTCATTTCGTCTTGATAAGATGTTAAAATATGCCTTGTAAGATTTGTGCGGCGATCTACTTCTGGGAACCATTTCCCCTCCCACTTGAAGTTCTTTACAGGAGAAAACAACATCATTTGAAGAAAGTCCATATTGAATTATCCAAAGATGGTGTCTAATCATTTTCAATTAAGACAATTCTGGTAGTGAAATGAAAATTTCTGCCAGAAATTTCTGCGGAAAAAAAAATTCTGCCAGAAATTTCTGCGGTAAAAAAAAAATCTGCCAGAAATTTCTGCGGAAAAAATTAATTCTGCCAGTAATTTCTGCAGAAATGCATTTTCAGAGCCCATTTGTGAGCTTATGAACACGTGAGCGCACTGGCACATGAACCTTTTGGGTTCATCTCCTCGAGATCTTTCCAATGATATAAATTATGTCTTTGTAGCTCGCTTCCTTCTGTGTGTCAAGTTAGGACTCGCTGGCCATTCCTAAGTTGTCCCACCCGGCCTTCGGTGATCAGGCTAAAAAAGACCCAATAGCGATGATCAGCCTAAAAAGACCCAATAGTGGTGATCAGGCTAAAAAGACCAAATAGCGGTGATCAGACTAACAAGACCCAATAGCGATGATCAGGCTAACAAGACCCAATAGAAGTGATCAGGCAAAAAAGACTCAACAGCGGTGATCAGGCTAAAAAGACCCAATAGCGATGATCAGGCTAAAAAGACCCAATAGAAGTGATCAGGCAAAAAAGACCCCACAGCGGTGATCAGGCTAAAAAGACCCAATAGAAGTGATCAGGCTAAAAAGACCCAATAGCGGTGATCAGGCTAAAATGACCCAATAGCGGCGATCAGGCTAACAAGACCAAATAGTAGTGATCAGACAAAGACGACCCAATAGCGGTGATCAGACTAAAAAGACCAAATAGCGGTGAAATAATACGAATGGATGACTGAAATAAAAGCGAAGAAATCTGAAGCGATTGTACAATTTCGATTATATCATGAGCATGTTTGTGAATCTCTATCAAAGCGTGACCATGCCAGGTGTTAATGAAGGGAAAGAGTGGACACCGGGTACAAACAATATACAACAGCTATATGCAGAATTAGAATTAGCTAAGGCGCCTTAGTACTCGAGATGCCTTAGCAAAGAATGGCGTATGTAACAAAACTCGCTGACTATAACTCACGCTGTGAAAACAATGACGTGGTCATTCTCTGGGAACCCTGGGATGTTATTTTTCCAATCTCGAGCACTTGGAAGCAGATTTGAAGCATCTATCTTTGTGTTGTTTGGGTAATCCTCCTCGTTCAAGACTGACTGGAACCAACCTCCTCTTCCTTGATCCTTAAACAATGCAAATAGTGTTTGAGGTTTGGACTTAATGAACTTAAATGATTTGTATAGCGATCGGTATACGCATTGCAGAACTTTCTTCCAAGAATGATGATTCATTCGAGTCTTTCTGAAAGGTTGTCCAGGATTATAATATTTAAAACTTAAGTGAGTGAGTGACTGAGTGCGTTTAGTTTTATGCCGCACTCATCAATATTCCAGCTATATGACAGTGGTCTGTAAATAATCGAGTCTGGACCAGACAATCCAGTGATCAACAGCATGAGCATCGATCTACGCAATTGGAATACGATGACATGACTGTGTCAACCAAGTCAGCAAACCTGGCCACCAGATCTTGTTTGTCGCCTCTCACGACAAGTATGGGTTACTGAAGATCAATTCCAACCCGATCTTCACGGGTCAAAACTTTAGTAAGGCTTTCAGAAAATATAATGGTTAACATGAGGTGGAGATTTCCAAATTTGACGCATCAGTGGCTAAGATAATCTGATTTATATATGAGAAAGTTGGAGAAGAGAGGAAGAGGGAGAGAGAGAAAGAGAGTAAATAAATGAAATACTCCCACGAACCATTATTTACACCCCTTAAAATACATATGACATTTTTATCCGTGACAAGTTTATCGATAACAAATAATTTATATACATTTGAATGTCATCATTCAACTGTAGAAATAGTTTAAGTGCAGTTCTTATCTAGGCACATCCATGCTATCCGCGATGCAGCATTGTGTTTGCGGCTCACTCTAAACATGTATCCTATCTATACAGAGACACCTTCCTCCACGTGAAGTTAGAATGAACTTGCACTCTAACTGCTGATTTGCCATTTTGAAAGTGATGCATTGGATTGCGGATAAGCAGGATATATACCCATAATAACTAGTGAGTAAATATCAACAAATAATATAGTGAATTAAAATCAGTGTCAAAGGCAATCAGTAGTAGTGAGTTGAAATAAATCAATGTCAATCAATAAGCAAACAAATAATTAGTGATTTAAAATCAGTGTCAAAGGCAATCAGTTAGTCGTGAGTTGAAATCAATCAATGTCAGTCAATAAGCAGTGAGCTGAAATCAATCAATGTCAGTCAATAAGCAGTGAGTTGATACCAATGGAAATCAACAACCAGTGAGTTGATATCATGTTCATATTACAATGTGAGTTGATATCATGAAAATGAACACCGATTTCGTTATGCAGTTCAGTTTATAGTATAACCCACCTCACTAATCCATTAAAACATCATGAGTCTACCTCGGCGAAACATCAAAGGGATTTTCACTGTAATACCAAATGTCGTCTTAAGGGAAGACACCTAATCCTGATTCGATTATTGCAAGACTGTTTGAAAACAGCTTCATTGTGTTTCAAGAGTACATCTGCCATATACAATTCAGTGTTCCATTTTACAGTTCGAGTGACTATACAAACAATAGAGATACATAAACCAGACAACGGGACTCATGTAAGAGATGAAATGACTGCAACTTAGCGCAATGAAACTCATGTAATACAGTGTGAATAAACGATGTATAAAGAAATCATCAAATTATTTTTATTTTCATTTCGTCTTGATAAGATGTTAAAATATGCCTTGTAAGATTTGTGCGGCGATCTACTTCTGGGAACCATTTCCCCTCCACTTGAAGTTCTTTACAGGAAAACAACATCATTTGAAGAAGAAAGTCCATATTGAATTATCCAAAGATGGTGTCTAATCATTTTCAATTAAGACAATTCTGGTAGTGAAATGAAATTTCTGCCAGAAATTTCTGCGGAAAAAATTCTGCCAGAAATTTCTGCGGTAAAAAATCTGCCAGAAATTTCTGCGGAAAAATTAATTCTGCCAGTAATTTCTGCAGAAATGCATTTTCAGAGCCCATTTGTGAGCTTATGAACACGTGAGCGCACTGGCACATGAACCTTTTGGGTTCATCTCCTCGAATCTTTCAATGATATAAATTATGTCTTTGTAGCTCGCTTCCTTCTGTGTGTCAAGTTAGGACTCGCTGGCCATTCCTAAGTTGTCCCACCCGGCCTTCGGTGATCAGGCTAAAAAGACCCAATAGCGATGATCAGCCTAAAAAGACCCAATAGTGGTGATCAGGCTAAAAAGACCAAATAGCGGTGATCAGACTAACAAGACCCAATAGCGATGATCAGGCTAACAAGACCCAATAGAAGTGATCAGGCAAAAAAGAAAATAGACTCAACAGCGGTGATCAGGCTAAAAAGACCCAATAGCGATGATCAGGCTAAAAAGACCCAATAGAAGTGATCAGGCAAAAAAGACCCCACAGCGGTGATCAGGCTAAAAAGACCCAATAGAAGTGATCAGGCTAAAAAGACCCAATAGCGGTGATCAGGCTAAAATGACCCAATAGCGGCGATCAGGCTAACAAGACCAAATAGTAGTGATCAGACAAAGACGACCCAATAGCGGTGATCAGACTAAAAAGACCAAATAGCGGTGAAATAATACGAATGGATGACTGAAATAAAAGCGAAGAAATCTGAAGCGATTGTACAATTTCGATTATATCATGAGCATGTTTGTGAATCTCTATCAAAGCGTGACCATGCCAGGTGTTAATGAAGGGAAAGAGTGGACACCGGGTACAAACAATATACAACAGCTATATGCAGAATTAGAATTAGCTAAGGCGCCTTAGTACTCGAGATGCCTTAGCAAAGAATGGCGTATGTAACAAAACTCGCTGACTATAACTCACGCTGTGAAAACAATGACGTGGTCATTCTCTGGGAACCCTGGGATGTTATTTTTCCAATCTCGAGCACTTGGAAGCAGATTTGAAGCATCTATCTTTGTGTTGTTTGGGTAATCCTCCTCGTTCAAGACTGACTGGAACCAACCTCCTCTTCCTTGATCCTTAAACAATGCAAATAGTGTTTGAGGTTTGGACTTAATGAACTTAAATGATTTGTATAGCGATCGGTATACGCATTGCAGAACTTTCTTCCAAGAATGATGATTCATTCGAGTCTTTCTGAAAGGTTGTCCAGGATTATAATATTTAAAACTTAAGTGAGTGAGTGACTGAGTGCGTTTAGTTTTATGCCGCACTCATCAATATTCCAGCTATATGACAGTGGTCTGTAAATAATCGAGTCTGGACCAGACAATCCAGTGATCAACAGCATGAGCATCGATCTACGCAATTGGAATACGATGACATGACTGTGTCAACCAAGTCAGCAAACCTGGCCACCAGATCTTGTTTGTCGCCTCTCACGACAAGTATGGGTTACTGAAGATCAATTCCAACCCGATCTTCACGGGTCAAAACTTTAGTAAGGCTTTCAGAAAATATAATGGTTAACATGAGGTGGAGATTTCCAAATTTGACGCATCAGTGGCTAAGATAATCTGATTTATATATGAGAAAGTTGGAGAAGAGAGGAAGAGGGAGAGAGAGAAAGAGAGTGATAGTGAGTGAGTGAATTTAACGGAGGCTGAGCTACACGTGCATTATAAACACACAGTCATGCTCGAAAGCAATTATTATTACAAGACTATATTCAATTTTTAACACAAGGTGAAGTGAGATGGGGTTTAACGTCGTACTTAAGAATGTTTGCTCATAGGACGACGTGCATGCGTGTGTATGTGTGGCTGCTTGTACCAGCCCAGACTTTAGCTGGTTTCATAGTGCTAGATCACTGAGATACAATGAACATCGATCAACACATGGAAAAAACTATTTCACTGAAACAACCACGTACACTAACCGGAACCCCAGGTCTAGCTTGATGTTCATGATGTCGATCACTCGATTGTCTGGACCATAACTGATTATTAACACCCGCCTGGGTATTGTCTGAAAATCTTGAGTGCGGTGTGAACCATAAACAGATATAATAGGTCAGTACAAAATATAACATCGGGTTAGAAATCATACACAGATGGTTATTCACACGCACACGCACACGCACACGCACACGCACACGCACACACGCACACATGATCGATAACACTTTTACAGTTATCATTGCATCGCTACATAACGTTTGCGGAAACACAGAAACTTTAAACTCCCGGTGAAATTATTTTGTTAAATGAAAAACATGCTCCCTTCGAAAAGAATATTGAGCATTTTATCGCACATCGAACTTTTCAGTTTCCCGGTTCAATCAACGATGGATTATCTTCATCAAATACATACCTCAATGACATACCCAACCAGGTGTATGTTGTACAATGTCGAGGCAGTCTTAAACCTTAAGTTTACCTGTAAAATAAAGTATTAATTGCAGGGGACATCATTGTTAGTGTTAGAGATGAGGACTTCGTTCACATACGATAGTAACGCTTCGAGAGTCTGTGTTAACGTGTGTGACTTACGATACTTAGATAGCTTTGACAAATGGATATAGAGGCTGCGCTCTTCGTAGTACCTCAGCGGGAGCATTTACTTTTACGTAAAGACTACAAATATGTAAAGACTCCGGTATTAATAGTGGGTCGGGGGGGAGCCCATACTTTTCAGTAAAGACTACAATTTTGTAAAGACTCCGCTGTTAATAGTACCCCTTACTTTTAAGTGAGTGAGTGAATATAGTTTTACGCCGCTTATAGCAATATTCCAGCAATATCACGGCGGGGGACACCAGAAATGGGCTTAACACATTGTACCCATGTGGGGAATCGAACCCGGGCCTTCGGCGTGACGAGCGAACGCTTTAACCACTAGAGCCACCCCCACCACCCCACCACCCCACCACCCCACCACCCCTACTTATAAGTAAAGAGTACACTTATGTAAAGACTCCGGTGTAAATAGTAGCTCATGGGGAGCATCAGCCTTTAAAAGTCACATGCAACGTAAAACACAACTTTGCAGATTCTGATACCTTTCGGTATGGACTTACCGAAACAAATCATCAAAAATGCAAATTTATAAAGTTGAAAAATAACGCGATGCAAAAAACCGCGCGAAATCGTAGTTCAAACGATTCACTAACTTTCCCCCAGCGCTTGGGGGAATTCAAGTGGTTTCAACAGCTGGGCTGCGCTCATAGCACATGCGCAGTGAAATAGGTTGCGGAGCTTGGAAGCGGGTTTTCCGGTAAATATTCGGTGAAGGCTTTGGTGTGAGCTATTTTTCTACTGTTTTGTTGATATTTCACAGGCGCGAGCTATTTATATGTTATTACAGTAGATTACCGATTTAACTGTTTATATAATTTCTTTTGTCTATTTCACCACATGTTCTTCTTACCGAGTCAATTTCTCAGTTCGATACTTAAAAGCAATGTCATTATTTAGCGTCGACAGAATTTCTAACTGTGATATAGATATGTCGTTGTCACAGACAAAACTCAAAGTCTGTTTTATTGGCACCTATGTGTCTGCCTGCCCGTCTGCTAATGACAATATTCAATACACAATTTCAATATCTGACCACATGCAATTTGAACTTAACACCTGTCAGGCTATACACCATAAACAAAACGCATTGATTTATGGCCCGAGTTCGGTCTCTGTCACATTATGTAATTACACAGACAGGCAGGTGCGATACTTGTACACATGACATGTTATGATGTCTGATGATTGCAAAATGTTATACACAAAAAATGAGCATGTATTTACAAAACCCAACATCTCTATATATACACACACACAATGAGCCGTGAGGGCATCTGCAAATGAACCAGCCATTACACTTGAGTGCACACCCACCCGCTCTGACTGGGTTCGGTATCCTGGCTGCTTCGTTTCTTTTGAAGTAAACCCAAAAAATATTGCACTTTTGATTTGCGATTGTACGCTTATACTTTTGTTTTTATGTTTTTTCATAATCAGCAATGTATATTATATGTCATGAATAAGTGATAATTGTGTTTGAATTATGTTTGATTTTTGGTTGCATGTGACACCTTAAAGCTTACAGGCGCCCCCTTCTTCATTTTATGGAGCCGGTTTCCTTGTAGATAGACTCTTTTCCTATTGCCCGTAATTTGTGTCTTCATACTTCGATTCCGGACATGGGTACAATGTGTAAAGCCCATTTCCTGTGTCCCCCGCCGTGATATTGCTGGAATATTGCTAAAAGCGGCGTAAAACTAAACTAACTCACTCATACCTACCCCGTTAACAAGATGAGCAAAATGGCGTCGTATGTTCTCCTTTGTTTCAGCATGCTTGAGGACTTCGGACACCTGGGAAGTCCTTGCAAACCATCTGTAAAAGGTACAATACACAATGCTTGGAAGAGGGGACGAAGTGGATTGGGTGGTCATGCTCAGTGGCTTTGTTAATTGCGTGTAACCGTGCCCGACGGGTGGTACGTTACATACATTGTTAATCACTACTGGGCCTGATCCAGATTGCCGTGGTGGCCTCCAGAAGGGACCGTTTCATCTCCATCTTCTGTTGCACAGATTCCAGACGAAGACGATGTCACGGGTCGACCTCGTTCAAGAAGACCAAAATTGAACGTCCAGATCTGAGGAACGTTTGGTCATGTCGCTCTCTTATTCTCTTAGGCTACGTTAGATCTCATTTGTGATGTAATCCCGTGAAGATCCGGGTTAGAATTGGTCTTCAGCAACCCATTGTCCTAAGAGGCGAGTAACATGATTGGGTGGTCAGGCTCGCTGACTTGGTTCACACATGTCATCGTATTCAGTTGCATAGATCGACACCCATGCTGTTGATCTGTGGATTGTCTGGTCCTTATTTAGAGACAAATAGGTGGGATATTGCTGAGTGGGGCGCTAAACAACAAACAAACAAACAATATACTCATGAATGAACTAGATTTGTCATTTTATGTACCATTCGTGTACTGTGAGTGTCAACTCTACGGCATCTTTTAAACAGGATGGCAGTAATGTATATCTTGGACTCATGGTCATGACAATTGTCCGATAGAGGAAGACACTGTTGACATAGAGGTTCAGACACTTTAGACTTGTGTAGTAAAAGGTCTTCAACTGGGACCTCAACATAGAACAGTAGCACAAAGACACCAACTACCTTTGATATACGGAGTAGTCAACGACAGCAACAACATCAATGTGTATTTGGTCAGTCGAACGTTTGCTTCTAGATTCCTGCGTCCATCGTTCAGCCTCCCTCTCAGAAACATTATCTTCGTCATCTGAAATAATGGTTTAAAAACAAGAAGAAGGAAAAGTCAGTTTACTAAAGGCTCCCCTTTAAAAAATAATAAACCTTAAGAAACTGACGGATAAAGTGAACTTTAATTTTGTCCCAGCTACTATACACTAAACGCCAAAGAAACGTTACCCTCCTATCTTTATGAATTACTGAAAAACTATCAAAGATATCTTAGAAGGTATTAGTTTACAAGAAAGCTTAACAACACAGCTTTATGCAAATCACGAAAATAAATTCTTAAATGCATTCATATTTAGGTGAAATGCATCCTTTTCAGAAGAATTAAATTGTCCTATTTTCGTCCATGTCGAAATAAACCAACAGCAGTGAACTAGATGTCCAAAAGAAACGTTGAAATAAAATTCTGCTTTGAGACAAAGATAAACCATTAAAGTCACCATTTTTCAACAGTTAAAACAAGAAACAACTGTTGTAGAGTGTGTAAAATTGGAAAATAGTCATTCCTATGATTACAGTCTTTTAAAACATTTTCTGCTGATTTTCATTAGTGAAAACAAGTAAAACATCTAAAATTAGCTTTGTTAACATTTTGGCTTGCAAAGTAACATTTTTCCATTTTATGTGTACACATAGCAATATCAATCGCCAAAACGTAGCAATATTCCAGCGGTATTTGCATCCATTTCACATGTGGAATGATCTTATAGGGTATGAAGAGAGACAAGAATGCATGATATGATACACAAGTACGAGAAATATGCCACGATTAACAGCTGAAGAGAGAGAAAGAGCCATTGGGATGGAGCAGATGGGGTCGACATACAATGCTGCTGCCAACGCCCTCGGATGCCACCGTATCACGGTTCTAAGACTTATTTCAGGGCTTCAGTCAGACTGGGTCACCGTAGACAGACCAAGAATTGGACGTCCACACATCAGAACGCCAGCTGAAGACAGGTACCTCCGTCACTAAGGCAGGAGGGTAAGGTTTCTTTTGGCGTTTAGTGTAGTTATTAAGTTTGTATAACGAACTAAAATTTGTTGTCCTTTTGAGTTCGTTATAGCCGTAGTTTAGTTCGGTTTCTTTGTGAAGTGAACCTGTATCATATCTTCACTTTGCCGTTTTTTAGGATTCCGAATGATATATTAAAAAATGTCTCTCTTTCGTATCTTTCAGATCAAGTCGAAATAGTCTTTTTATATCAACAAGTCGAAACGAATACAAGTTTGGATATCGTTTAGCATCAGCTGTGGAGGGTCAGTTGTTAGGTTATTGGGTAAAGCGTTTGATCATCACGTCGACGACCTGGGTTCGATTCCCTACAAATGAATAATGTCACCTTCGCTTATATTGGTTGCATATTGCTCACTCACTCACTCGATTGCACCATTGGAAACTTGAAACTTACACGACAACGTGATGTCAATAGCTTGTTTGTCAATAAGAGGCTTCACTGGCTTCAGGATATACAGATCATCGTCGACAGGCCCCCATGCGTCACCACGAGCACCGTTATAAGGCGTCATCTCATACAAATTACCTCCAGGAAGAGATAGGAAGCCTTGCTGTGAAAAGAAGAAAAGCCGAAATATCAACATATTCGGGACCACGTAATGTATGTCGAGTATCGGTACTAGAGAAGAAGTGTTCGTATATTCTTGTTTGTTGTTTACCCCACACAGCTATAATCTGGAGGAGATTAAAATCTGCCATTGCAAGCAAGAGCCAAGATCGACTTTAAAGATTTGTTTGTTTGTTTGTTTGTTTGTTTGTTTGTTTGTTTGTTTGTGGTCCTGCTTTATGACACGGTCTGATAATATTCCGCCTTCAAAGAAAATGCATAAGACACTACGTAGCCAGTTTTTGCTTAAACTTCTAGGTTTTTCTGTGTTCCTATATTGATAATCAAAATCCGCCCGTGCCCACGCTTCTTTAAAAATAAAATAAGATTACAATAAACTACTTTAAACAGGAACTCACGATTTGTACGAACTTTTTGGGCTGGTCTCTTATTGATGCTTTCGTCGAAATGAGTTAAATGAACAGCGGTTATAACAAACTGACCGGTCACGTTGAGTTCGCTATAGCCGTAGGTATATTGAGCCAATTAAAACTTTATTCTGCATTAAATATTGATACAGTTACTTAGCGTCCTTACTGTATCATACCCATGAAGATCCGGGTCAGAACTGATCTTCAGTAACCCATGCTTGTCGTAAGAGACGACTAACGGGATCGGGTGCTCAGACTCGATGGCTTGGTTGACACATGAAATCTAATCTCGATTGCGTAGATGGATGCTCATGATATTGCTCACTGGATTGTCTGCCGCCATATAGCTGGAATATTGCTGAGTGCGGCGTTAAACAACAAACAAATGTTAATGTATGACATGACTCGTATAACACGTTACTTACAAGCTGATACCGTGGTTTGTCCTCTGATGTTATCCGGCAGGACACCTCAATAGAAGCCATGTTAGCAACATCCAGGTACTCGTGACGCCCCTGTAGAGTGAGTGAGTGAGTGAATTAGTATAGATCAAACATCACACTTGCAATACTTATAAAACATCGGTGTAACAGAATACTATGAGCTGTATGCTTCTCTCGAGGGTAATTATTTACGGTCTGATGTTTGCCTCTTTGTAGCAGTGTTACCCGAACACTGCTACAAAAAGACGTACATCAGACCGTATTACCCGAGGGAGATGCTTCCAACGTATTTATCTTACCGTCATGTGTTAAATGTACAAAAGCTTAAAACTGCTTTGAAAATGGTTAAATTATGTTTAAGTTGAGTGTGCAAACGATGCAATGTAGAATACAGTTTTAATAAAGCAGTGAAAGTTGGTAAAATAAATTCACAGTGAACTCAAACACAGCTGAACGGTTTTCGAACTCCGTGGACCGCATGCGTCATATTATGACGTCATACGATTGTTAGCGATACAGCTTCTCGGCGGAGAGTTTGGCGTTTCCCCTGGCAGCGGGTGATTATTTTTCAGTTGGAAACTTGTTAAAGCGTCATTGACCAAGGAAATTAAAGTATTCTACATGAAGGTAAGATAACGAGTCTTGACTATTCGCAGAAAACATATTAATCAATTTGGTGTCAAAGACAAAATATAGCTGTTAAAACGCATGAATAGACGAAACAGCCGTGATGACACCAGGTGTTCATTGAAAGGGCAAGATGTTCTTCTCCACCGGTAACACCCGCCATTCACACAATTTACCTGAAGAAGTAAGCGCTTACATCCTAGAAGCACACAGTAATACTTCAATAACATATCCACACCATAGTAAACACATGTACAATACGAACAATATCATATATTCTAAGATGCTTTGCTAAACGATCAAAGGCGCCGACAGTACTTTATAAGGTGATAAAGTACACTATTTGCATGACATCACACTGTATGGCGTCTCTACGCTATTCAACGTTCACAATGTTTAAATACTCCAAACAGGGTTGCGCAACAGTGAGGGAAATTACCAGTCTTCCTATTTGCGACTGACTGAGTTTGGTTTTACGCCGCTTTTAGCAATATTCAAGCAACATCACGGCGGGGGACACCAGAAATGGGCTTCACACATTGTGCCCATGTGGGGATTTGAACCCGGGCCTTCGGCGTGACGAGCCAACGCTTTAACCATTAGGCTACCCCACGACCCCTCCTATATGCGAGCGAAGCGAGCTAAGGTTTGCAACGTAGTTCCCTCGCTTCGGTTCGAAAAATAGTTTCAGTGTCAAACTAAAATATCGCCACCATCAAAGGTAGGCACGCAGTTCCTCACAGGGTTGTGTACTCTCAGATTTTCAACTTCAATTTTGATAACTACTCGCGTAAAATATATTTCATGCAACATTTCAAGCGTCAATTAACGGCATTACAAGATCATGTTCCTGTTTTTGACAGGTAAGGGCGTCGTCATTTCGAAATAACACTAGCCGTCTGGAAGTCAGTATGATGTTGCAGAGGGGCGTATCAACGAAACTGCAACATTGAATCACGGCACTGTAAAACCGGATGAAATCGGACTGTTACAAGAAGCTAATGCACACGTGCATGTTACGGATAATGATTTGGAACGCGTTGTTGAGGCATTTTCCCCTCACCTTATCTCATCTTAGAAGGGGTCGGTGGAGACTAACGCTTAGTCCCTGAATATGTATAATTTTGATAGTAACAAATAAACCCTTTAAGGAGTTCCAGTGAGTATTGCTTCATTGATAGCTTTAGCATTGCAGAGAGGGCTAGGCTGTAGGGAAAATAATGTGGTTCAGGGACTGTGAGACAGACTAGGGGGTGCCGTGCTGGCCTAGTGGTTAAGAGTGTTCGTTCGTCACGCCGAAAACCACCTGAGGGAGAGTTCACGAACCAGAATATGGACTCTTTGAACCTAAACATTCAGTAATAATTCAAAAGCTGTAATACAAACAAACAATTTTCTCACCAACTTTACATGCCCCTGTTTAAATAGAATGAATCAAAAGAAAGCGACTGTTCAATAATCATAAAACGTATGCATTGAGAAGCGTATTCATTATTTGACGACGTTGGTTGATTATGACAGTAGGCGTTCGTGGAAGGGTGTGTATACTGCTCCACTTGTGTGAATGTGTGTTTCTTGAGGGAAGAACACAACAAACCATAAGTCAAGATTCTGTTGGAAAAAAACAACACAAATAGGAAAACGAGGAGGGTGTTTTCATACGGTCTCCCATCACGTACAGATTTATGACCGTGACAGTTGATCTTTCCACAAGTGTCGAATATCTTGAACAATACCTAGTAACCTGGATGTGGGTCTTTTGTGTAACAGAGGAAAGCTGCGTGTTAAGTGATGCGGATTAAAACAGCTTGTGTATAGAAGGCTATACAGTGGTCTTGGTGCGGTATGGAATACTGTAAGGGACATGTCATCGGTCTCACAATCTCGAATTCAAGACTTTTCAAAACACGAATACAAGCATCCAGTGTATATTATGAGAACGTCCTTTACAGCGTTCTGCGTTGCTAAATTTCTAGTTCTCATTTTCGTATGTTTTTGTCATATTTGTATCCAAAGCTGGACATCGCGATTATACTCCCTACAGTATCCCATAGTGGGAGTATTTTATTTGAACATTTATATATTGTGCATTAAGTGGAAACTTCCTGGTTCAAAGTGTCTCTCGGTGAGCTTTTTTAAGCGGGTTATCAATGTTAGGTTTAAGTGTTTGGGGGTGAATGGATCCTGATTCTTGAATTAATTCACTTTTGTATATACTGAAGAACAAAAAGGAAACATCTAGTATTTTGTGGTTATTTTTTTTTAAAGAGTAAGTCGCACACACGTTGACAAAACACCACAGATATGCTTCACAGTGTTTTGCTTAGGATGTCTTAAATCAGAATTTTGTTCAATTGCACGTGCATGTTACACGTCATCAATATATTTTACAGTCGATTGAGATTGTTAGTGGAATACCTGTTTAAAGGCACATATCAAGTGATTGGCTTCCCGATCTTCAATCTGAATTGATACGAAGGGGTACAATGACATGTGTCAACCAAGTCAGCGAGCCTGACCACCCGATTCCGTTAGTCGCCTCGTATGACAAGCATGGGTTACAGAAGATCAATTCTATCCCAGATACTCACGGGTCGAGACTCAATGTATTGAATGAGATAGGTGATATCTCGATGTTCATGACGTCATCACGGCTGTTTTAATGTATTTTAATTGATAAAAGAATTAACTTTGAACCAGTTGTCACGGGAAAGGTGTTGCATGTGCGAAACTGATAAAGCTATAGCACAAAACAGGATAAAGGCGTCCGTCCGTCTTCACATTTGCGACACATCTGACATATTGATCGATATTTCCCGGAATCTGGTATTTCAAACGCGTTGGGAACAAAAACTACAATCCCAGGCATAATCTCGAGGTCGTGTTTTATCCTGTATATCCCACCAATCGTGAAGGTACAGAGTATAAGAACTATAAGGATAATTGCCCAAAGTCTTTCTTATTCATCGTAATTTACAACCTGCTACTTATTAGCATGGTAGCAAATAACCCTCCGACATAAATGCAAAGCACCCGTGGCCTTTTTTCCTATGTAAAGTAATGATTGTCTGTGTTAAAGAATGGTGCATTAACTTCCAAAGACATTTTCACGTGTGCCTCGTTGTCTTGGATTGGTATTAGCAGCTTTTACTAACACTGTCCTGGGATTAAGAAGAGCCGGGTTTGATTACCCCTAATGTGTGACGCCCATTTCTGGTGTGATTTTGCTTGAATATTGCTAAAAGTGGCGTAAAACTACACTCACTCACTTGCCATTACTAAAAACGAAAAAACCCCAGATCTATTGCATTGTGGTTTGTTCAAAGTTTATAACTTGGATAATACAGATACAAGAATTGGAAACATCTGGGACTGCAAGGTAGCCTAGTGGTTAGTTCTCCTGAATATGTGGGGCTGGGAGGTAGCCTAGTGGTTAGTTCTCCTGAATATGTGGGACTGCGAGGTAGCCTAGTGCTTAGCTCACCTGAATATGTGGGACTGCGATGCAGCCTAGTGGTTAGTTCTTCTGAATATGTGGGGCTGCGAGGTAGCCTAGTTGTTAGTTCTCCTGAATATGTGGGGCTGTGAGGTAGCCTGACGGTTAGCTCACCTGAGTATGTGGGACTGCGAGGTAACCCATTAGTTTGCTCACCTGGATATGTGGGACTGTGCGGTAGCCTTGTGTTTAGCTCACCTGAATATGTGGGACTGTGAGGTAGCCTGACGGTTAGCTCACCTGAATATGTGGGACTGCGAGGTAACCCATTAGTTTGCTCACCTGGATATGTGGGACTGTGCGGTAGCCTGGTGGTTAGTTCTTCTGAATATGTGGGACTGCGAGGTACCCTAGTGGTTAGTTCTCCTCAATATGTGGGGCTGCGAGGTAGCCTATTGGTTAGCTCACCTCGATATATGGGACTGCGAGGTAGCCTAGTTGTTAGTTCTCCTGAACATGTGGGGCTGCGAGGTAGCCTAGTTGTTAGTTCTCCTGAATATGTGGGGCTTCGAGGTAGCCTAGTTGTTAGTTCTCTTGAATATGTGGGACTGCGAGGCAGCCTAGTGGTTAGCTCACCTGAACATGTGGGACTGCGAGGCAGCCTAGTGGTTAGCTCACCTGAAGATGTGGGGCTGCGAGGTAGCCTAGTAGTTAGTTCTCCTCAATATATGGGTCTGCGAGGTAGGTTAGTTGTTAGTTCTCCTGAATATGTGGGTCTGCATGGTAGCCTAGTGGTAAGCTCACCTGGATGTGTGGGACTGCATGGTAGCCTAGTTGTTAGTTCTCCTGAATATGTGGGTCTGCGAGGTAACCCATTAGTTTGCTCACCTGAATATGTGGGACTGTGCGGTAGCCTGGTGGTTAGTTCTCCTGAATATGTGGGACTGCGAGGTAGCATAGTGGTTAGTTCTCCTGAATATGTGGGTCTGCATGGTAGCCTAGTTG